TGGGGCGTGGGCCCTGGTGTGGTGCGAGGCGAGAGCTGCCGAAATCCCGCGGGGGAAATGGCGAGGCGCCGGCCGCCCCGTCGGGCTGCGGCCTCGCTCGGCGGAAAAGCCCCGTTTCCCCCCGTTTTCGCTAACGTCAGCCAGCAGCCGCTGTAGCGTAACGCTGTGTTTGCAGCGGGAAGCCCCCCATCCCCTGATAAACAACACAGTTTTATTAATTACGTGATTTAATTAGCACGGGCCGCTCCCCAAAAAGCCTGCAAATGCCTCAGAAAAAGCTCGGTGTTTTTCCAGATGGGATAAATGGGCAGTGAGGGAAGCGCGCCGAGGCCGGCCTCGGCATGACCATTCCCATGGCTGGGTGCCCCTTTCCCAGCCTGCGGAGCCGCCCGGCTCCGGGCTCTCCGGAGGGAGGTATTCCTGGAGCTGGAAAGTGTTCCCGGTTCCCGCAGAGTGGGTTTGGGCCCGGAGTCTAGCCGGGATCATTGACGTGCAGCCCATGCGGGGCTGCCACGGAGGGGTGGCAACGGTGCAGGGCGTGCGGCGGCCCTTGCTTCCTGGCGGCTCGTCTTGGGGAAGGAGGAAAGGGAAATAATAGCAATAATAAAAACTCCCGATTAGGTGCTTGATTCCTCCTGCTTGCTCTCCCCACAAAGGGAGAAGCCGGCGGTGAAGCGGGATGGGGCGCCGGAGGGAGCGTCGGCGCGGAGCGATGCGGGGACGCGGTGGAGCCGAGCTGCCCGTTGGAGAAGCTGCAAAGTGTTGGTGGGAAACGGGAAAAGCATGGGGAAAAAGAAGAGGTTTCAGCCAGCCGGGACGCTGTGGGGCTTGGCGAGGTGGTGCAGGAAGGGGATAAGGAGTCGTGAGGATGTAGGGCAGGAATTAAAAAAGATAAGTGTAGCGTGGTCAAAATTAACTAGAACTTGCAGCAAAGCGAGGCCCTCATGTGGGGAAGTTGTAGGTGCTGGGCAGGAGGCAGATCCCGGCAGAGGCGAGGGATCCAGCACGGAATGGCGGCTGCAGCGCCGGCTGCCCGTCCGCCTGGCCGTGCCGCGGAGCAGATAAACAGCCCCAAACGCACCCGGGAAGGCCCCGTGACGCAGGGACCATCTCCCCGTGGCGCAGGGACCGGCTCCCCGTGGCGCGGGGCCAGCAGGGGTTTACCAGCCCGGGGACACCCCCGGGTGTCACCGCACCTGGGATCCCAAAGGCGCTTCCCGGCGCGCGCTCCAGGCTCGCTGGGGCTGCAGACTCCCACGGGGATGGCAGTTCCTGCTCACGCCAAACAGGGCAGCCGGGCTCGGGGGTCCGGCCTCGCCAGCGGACACCACTACTCCGAGCTCCGGCAATAAAACGCCGTGAATGATGCAGCAGAAGCGGCTGGAATCGCCCGTCGCAGTAAATCACGCATGGAAGCGGCGCGCGGAGGAGGAGGTTCCCCGCTATCCCTCCTGCCTTGCCGATAAACCCTCGTCCTCCTCGGGCCTCCCTGCAGACCCTCCGACGTCTCGGACGGAGCGGGAGATGGGAGCAGGATGCGGCCTCTCCTGTGGCTCCGGTGCCTCCGAGGACGCCGCGGTGCCGCTGCTCTCCCGGGAGCTCCTTTCCCCGTCTCCTCCCATCTCCCTTGGCTTCACCTTGCAGCGTTTAACGCACAGACCTGCCAGGAGTGATAAAATGGCCTTCCCCCAAAATTTATGGAGTTTATCTGTGAATAACCGCTGGAGGTGAAGTGGCCGTTGAGCCGGGGAGGAGGAGCCGCTTGCTTGGACACAGGCTCTGCGGCGCGGGCGGCTCTGGTGTGGGCATCCTGGCGGGAGCACCGTGTCCACAGGGACTTTATTATCTCCTTTCCCCCAAAAGAGAGTTTTTATTGATTGCCCATCCAGGTGAGTTGGGGATTAAGCGGAGCTCTCCATAAACCTCCCCCATCCCTCCTTCCACATCCTGCTGCAGGAACATCCGTCAGAAGTTTCTGAGGCTCTTCTAAATTTGGGGGCCTTCGGCAAAGAGCCGGTTTCCCTCGGCAGGGCTCTTCTCCGTGGCCGGTTTTAACAGTAGGTTTAAGGGTGCTCCCCGGAGCTGTTGCCCGGGAGAGCCCTTGTGCCTGCAGGGATTGCGCGGTGCACGGAGGGCGGTGAAGCAGGCGGCTCCGGGTGCAAATCCCGCGGGCA